GTCGTGGTTAATACAGTACAATGGTTTTGTGTTCACATAGTGAAATCGTCATTTCTTTAAATACAGATAATTGTCTAGACAGAAGCAGTATTGAAGCTACCTCCGACTAGCGCAGAATGTGACCTGAAAATGAAGCAACATATTGGCAATTTAATTAGTCAGGGATACGGAGCATTTTTCTGCTACCCCAAAAACAGAAGTGGGTCACAAGTGTTCCATCAACAACACTTTTCTAGGTATCATCCCTACTCTCAATCCTTCTGCAAGATACATTTGGGGACTTTTCTGCAATTGAAGAAACAAAGATTAAATTATTCCTGTTGACTTTCTCTGTTTAATATTCGTTAGTGGTATAAGCATCAGGTGTGAATTCCCTGGAGCCACAGGTTCAAATGCTGCAGGGGTGGACGTGGCTATTCATCTCTCTGAGATTGGTAAATGGAGTTTTATTAAGCTTAGTGTATGTGAGTCATTTGAAGAAGACCTTAAAACCCAAGATCCATTTTATGTAGATGCCAAAGACCCAAACCTGTGATCTTTTGTGTAAGGATAGATAGGTAGTCCTTTTGCCCTGGGCCAAAATTTCCTTACTTCCTCTGTTGTGTTACATGCTCAGCACAAGTTGGCTGTTGCCCTCAATGGTGTATAGCTGGAAGGCACTACAGTAGAACCTCAGAGTTACAAACACTAGAGTTACAAACTGACCGGTCAACCACACACCTCTTTGGAACTGGCAGTAGGCAATCAGGCAGCAGGGACGAAAAAAAAAAATAACCCAAACATAAACATAAACATAAACTATTAAACATAAACTATTAAAAATATAAAGGGAAAAATTTAAAAAAAAAGATTTGACAAGGTCAGGAAACTGTTTCTGTGCTTGTTTCATTTAAATTAAGATGGTTAAAAGTAGCATTTTTCTTTGGCATAGTAAAGTTTCAAAGCAGCATTAAGTCAATGTTCAGTTGTAAACTTTTGAAAGAACAGCCAGAATGTTTTGTTCAGAGTTACGGACATTTCAGAGTTACAAACAACCTCCATTCCCAAAGTGTTCGTAACTCTAAGGTTGTATTGTATATACACATGCAAAATACTACTATTGTTTCAGTTATATGAGTGCCTATTTTCATTTTCCAAGTGAACAAATGGGGATTTCCAATACAAATGTCATGGGATGGACAGAGGTATATGCTAGTTTTCAAGGGTCTATCTACCAAACTGCTCTTAAGATCCTCTTCAAGTTTTATCCATCAATGTTCTCTCTTCATCGTAAAATTACTGAAACATAAATAAAGGAGGATACAGAGATTTTCACTTGCCTCTCTTCCATGTTCTAAAGCTTATATTTTCTTTGTCATTTTTGAATCAATTTATCTGTCTTGATACCACAAGAATCAAAATAGGTCTTTGAGTCCTCTATGTTGGTGTAGAAAAGATTGGAGGCCCGATTCTCCACTTGTGTAACTCCCATGGAATTTTTCCTGATTTAAACCAGTGTTGAGTGTAAAGAGAACCAAGCCCTGGCTGTGAGTCGGAAAGAGTTATTATATATGAAACAGCAATGCTAAGTATGTTCTATCGGTAACAAAGGGTTTGATGCTGCCATTGAATCAATCCCAAAGTAAGATACTACTCAACCTGAGTAAAATCAGCAGAATCTGAACCTAAATTAACCTCCTGAACAGCTTCCTGAATGAGAGGATAAATGAATAAAATGGATAATGAATAAAATATTTTTATAATATTTTTGTTTCTCAGATGATTCAGGCTTACGCTGAATTTTCCTGATAAGTTTTCCCCAGTTTATCCTTTACACTAGTGTACCAAGAGTCATCCATAGCAACCAGGATAAAAGACAGGGGATTTATAGCACATCTTGCAAGAAGTAGATGTTCCCTTTCTACTCCCCCAGGACCCACCCTGTTTTCTGATAAAAAAGTCTCCTCTGACTCTCCAGATGCTAAATATTAGGTTCTGTATTTTAGGTGATAGAAATTATTGCCACTTTCTGGGTCTGTGAAGATCACTTGACTGCTTGATATTACTGGTGGCCAAAACGTTGTTTTACAGATGTTTTGGTGAACCTATGTTTCCTTTATGGGAACGTAATCTGGAAGGATTTGGAGTCATTTTAATATCTGGTTGGACATGTAATTTTCTGGCCCATTTATCTGCCCATAGGTCTCCACATAAAGGTGTGTTTTGTTTGTGCTCTAACTAAAGATTTGACCTGTAGGAATTTGCTAGATATATGCTCTTGCTTCTGGTACTCTGGAAATCAGGTTTGCCACGGTGTGACTGTTTCCATATCATCTGGCAGACTCCATAGTCAGTGTACCTTGAGGAGTTTATAAAACAATGGTCTTAATAGTGAGACTGCCACCTAATACATAAGGGGACACAGCATGAAAATAGCATGGCGAAGTTAAGCAATGATGCACTCTGAATAATCTAGCAACTCTAGAAGACTAAATTAGTGCAATAGCTCATCAGCGAAAACATCCCTTTCTAATAAGGCTACTGCCTTGCTCTAGAACAGAGGTGGGCAAACTATGGCCCGCGGGCCACATCAGGCCTGCAGGACCATCCTGCCCGCCCTTGAGCTCCTGGCCGGGGAGGCTAGCCCCCGGCCCCTCCCCCACAGCTACACCGCCATGCGGGCAGTGGGGCTGCGAGGTCCTGCCGCTCTGAGCAGCATGGTAAGGGGGCAGTGGTGGTGGTGGGAGGTTGGGTAGGAGGTCCCGGGAGGGCAGTCAGGGGACAGAGAGCAGGGGGTGGTTGGATGGGGCGGAGGTTGGGGGAGATGGTCGGGGGGGAACGGGGTGGTTGGAAAGGCGCGGGAGTCCCGAGGGGCTTGTCAGGCGGCGGAGGTGTGGATAGGGGTTGGGACAGTCTGGAGACTGGTAGCAGGTGGGGTTGGATGGGGGTGGGGTCCCAGGGGGCCTGTCAGCGGGCAGAGATGTGCATAGGGGTTGGGGGGCTTGGATAGGTGTGGGAGACCCGGGGGGCCTCTCAGGGGGCGGGGGTGTGGATAGAGGTGAGGGCAGTCAGGGGACAGGGATAGGGAGCAGGGGGAGTTGGATGGGGGTTGGGTCCTGGGGGTGCACGGTTAGGGGCTGGGGCAGTCAGGGGACAAGGAGTGGTGGGGGGGGGTGGATGGGGGCAGGCTGTTTGGGGGGCACAGCCTTCCCTACCCGGCCCTCCATACAGTTTCACACCCCAAAGTGGCTCTCGGGCCAAAAAGTTTGCCCGCTCCTACTCTAGAACTCAGAGGAACACATCTACTTGTGTTGAAATATTAAAGTTTTTTGATTGTTAATGACACCAGGATTTAATATCAGACACTCGTCTTAAACTCAATTTTCCTCTTACATATGTGAGAACTCATTGTTTATGTTGAAAAACAAGTTCTTGAACTTGACTTTTGCACTGACATGGCAGAATGTATATTCTATTATAGGATCACAACACCTACTTTGTCTCTTATTTACATTTGTTTTATACCAGAGGAACACCACTGATTTTACTCTTGATTTACTCTGGTGTAAGTGTGGGGAGAATCAAGTCTGTAGTATTTAGAGATGGAAAAGACCTATATGTTCACTCATTCCATCCCTCTGCAAGTTAGGCTATATTCCACCCATTACAAGAGGTACAATATCATATATTAAATTGATACTACATGTTAAAATACAGTTAGCCAAAGCTGAGAAATAAGATGTGTTCTATTGGTTAAAAATGAAGTCTTGGTAACATGTTGCTCATAATTTTGGTATATTGTTCTTAATATGAAGTCAGCTGTGCCAATTCAAAGAACCTGTTCTGAGTTTGTTTGGAAAATGCTTTAAAATGTATGTTTCTGATACTCAGTGGTATTTCATTAGCGGGTACATATTTATTCTGTTGACTAAAATTTGATGAAATTCTCTAGAGAATAAATGTTGGGCCATTTAATCAGCAGGAAAGGGAGCTATACGAACTTATACAAGCTGAGGATCTGGTTCAATATATTTTAGCCCACTAAAATGTGCTTGTGTCCATAACAATGTGTATTACATCATCCTCATTTGGCTTATTTTCTTGAAATTTCTGATCTATCTTTGTGTGTAGCTTAATTAAGAAAACAGGTTGAGATATTCATTATGAGCTTCATCTTTCAGTGAAATGATTTTTGCATATCATTACAGAGAAAGGAATGCAAATAGTCTGTGATTGTCCTTATTTAATTGTTATAGAACGTTTTATTGCATTCACAGCCAACTGTAGAGCTAATAAGACTGTAGGATTCACTTGATTTACATGCAGCTTAGACCTAAAATACGTAAATGTTGTAAAACTAGTAATGTGAGCGTTTCAGAATTTAGCTGGAACCTTGAAAGCTACGTAAATTGATAGAGGCCTGACATATGTTACTATGTCAAAATACATATAGATTTTTAAAAAATCATTTTAATATCATCAGTCATATTGCAGCAAGAAATGTAAATGTTCATGACATTACATATGGACTGCTCTGAAATGTTCTGACAATCTGCTACGTTTGAGTGATGTTTCAAGCCTGTCTTTTTTCTTTTCTTTTTTTTTTTTTAACGAGTTTAAAAACACTGCTCATCTCTGTCATATGCTGTACAGGATGAAACATTTTCTTAGCAAGAATCAGACAGCCTGGGTGCTGCTGGAACACAGAGAATATGCCGCTGTCTGTTCAAAATGTAGCCTAATGAGCCAGACTAAATACAATGGACAATAGAGCTGTGGGAAAAGAAAGTGCTTTTGATGGATCTGTGTGGATCAACTGGAGCTTTAACCTCTAACTAGTTTTCATTTTTCATCTTTACAATTTCCATTTCCACTTTTTGTTGATATAAATTACATTTCAATGAATGGATCCTCCAGCCTATGTGATAGTTTTGTGTGCTCCGATAAGGAAACAGCAGGTTATGTTTGGTCTGGTTATTATCCTAGTAATCATTTTTTTGTTTTTTTTTTCTCTTTCTTAGTCACGACCTATTCCCTCACACCTTACTTCAGCAGTAGCAGAGAGTATCCTGGCTTCAGCCTGTGAGAGTGAAAGCAGAAATGCTGCAAAAAGAATGCGGTTGGATAGACAGCAGGTACTGTTGTTTGGGGTCTACCACATCCATATTTATAATTAATGGAGTGAGAGTAATTTACATAGAGTATCACACAGAGGGGTGGTACATCTCTTATATTTACTGTTAGCAAAAATAATTAAATGTCTATAGATTTTATGTTTTAAATAAATACATGAAAATGCCTTGTGTAGGTATTTAGAAATGTGTTGAGCATATCTAGTGTGAATGGATGGATAAAGAGATTATCATACATCTGTGTGTAATAGTTGTGTACGTTATGTACTGTATGTGTGTATATTATATATACAAATAATATACATAATGTACAGTGCAGGCATAAAATATATATGTATATACAATTATATAATTATACTTTATATTATTTATATATGTATAATCTTCCTCTGTGTGTGAATTTATAAATATAATGAAGGGTGAAAAGACCTATTTGTTTTTAGTAGAAAGGTTACTGAGATATTTCCCAAACTACTGTACTATTAGTTGTCTTGTAAATCAGTCTTTTAAAATTCATATCAATATTTATCTTATTTTATTCTTACATTATTCAGTATCTAGTATACTGTATGTTAGAGTTGTAACTGTTTGCATTTTATTTGCTGGAAACATGCTTCCTTTCCAACTTAAAATCAAAGTGATATCCAGTCTTAAATTTTGCTTTTTTAATTGCTCCAGGATCATGGTGAATGTCGGACCTTTTTATTTCAGAAAATACATGTTTTTTATTTTATCTGATGATATTGTAAAGTAAAAGCCCAAAAACATCACAACTGTATTGAAACTTGACTTAAACTCATGGTTGATAAACTTTTTCTTTGCATACACTTTTCCAAAGGGATGGACGTTTTGCCTTTATCTACTTTCTGTAGCCTTCCTTCACAGCCTTTCTTGGAACAGTTGATGCTTAGGATTATCCTTTGAATGCTGATAGCTAAGAGTCTGGAAATGTATATTGCTATGTCTTTTTGCTGATATTTTGTCTTTTGTGACATTTCAATTAACGTTATGGATACACCTTAAGGTCTACTAGTTACAGGTATATAAAACATCTAATAAGTGCTGGTTAGTTTAGGGGCTGTTCTCATATAGATTTTGAAGTTTTTTATGTTCTGTCATTTGCTGTCTGGGAAGCAACAGAACCACAGAACAAATGTGCTTAGCTCAGAGAGAAGAGGGAAAATGTTATATTAACAGCAGTTACTTTGGTCGCATTGATAGTCTCCAAAGGGAGAGTTGTCCTGACCATTCCTCCCTGATCACAAAGATGGTGTCAGGCCAAATCAGGGTGACAAAGAGATTGACAGTGAAGAAAAATAGAACCCTTGGGATTCTCTCCAGAATGTGAAAGATTGACTTAAATAGAAACACTTCAAAACTATAGGAGGTAGCCTAACTGAGTACTATTAAGGCATTTTCTGGATTTGGATAATTCCTTTCACCTGCAGGTTTTGGTAGCACTTACAGTAACTTCTTTCAGAGTAACAGCCATGTTAGTCTCTATTCGCAAAAAGAAAAGGAGTACCTGTGGCACCTTAGAGACTAACCAATTTATTTGAGAATAAGCTTTCGTGAGCTACAGCTCACTTCATCGGATGCAGTAAAAGTAACTTCTTTTAATTTTTACTTCTAAAATGCATAATCTGAAGCAATGAAAACTCCCAATTAATCTTTTTAATTAAAAAGTTCATGTTAAGATCACAAAGCTGCCTGCACAGAAGATATGTTGGATTCTTGATCCTTGCACCTTCCTCACTCTTTTTGGCAATAGGGGCTTGGGGCACTATGGAGACAATTGTAAGTAATTACAGCAACGTCATAACTATAATTTTCCATTCTAAAGTTTCACGGTGTGTTTCTGAAATACGTGGGCAGATTTACTTGAGTCTTACACCTGTTTACGCAAGCATAGGCTCTGGCAGAGATCCCAGTAGTGGAACCTGTAGGGGGATGAGGTTGCTGTGGTGAAAAACAACTATGTCATCAGTCATGCCAGGAGGACCCTAGCACAGCACAGAAATTGAGTAGTCCTGGCAGGAAGCTAAGAGTGTCTGATAAGCATGCTCATTCAGCAGCTCCCTTCAATGCATCAGGCCTTAGGAGCCTTGAATTAAAACTCTGCTCCACTTGTGCAAACCCAATGGAGCTCAGTACTGATACCACCACTTATCGTCCAAAGGAGTCCGACTGTCCTGCGAAGCAAGGTGTAATGAGCATCCCTGCTGCCAGCTCTTTTAGAATATAGCCTGTAAATCGTCTATGTATCTATATCTATATAGACCTATATATTATACATATAATATATAGGATGGGATTTTCAAAGGAGCCTCAGGGAGTTAGTCAACCAGATTCCATTGCAAACCAAAGGGAGTTAGGTACTTAACTCCCTTAGACTCCTAAGAAAATCTTAGCCATAGTTACAATATATAAATCCTGCTATGCAGAAAACTTGTATCCATCTATGCTGAAAACTGCCTGAGGCAGATATATTGCCTCTCAGAGTGAAGGGGTTGTGCAGTTGGTGATAAACCCTTTCAAGTTCTGCAGCATTCATTTCCCACTGCATGGACCCACCTCCACTTCCTTGCGTCTCCCCACATACTTTAGGGAGTCTACCACTGTTGATGCTAGAATTACAGAGTCCTTGCACTCCCTGAACACAAGGACTGGGATTGTGCCTGGCCCCTACACTTGGCATATGTCGTGGTGACTTCTTGACCTCTGTTCTCTCTGACCCTGATGTCCCCTCAGGCACAACGTGTCCCATAACAGGCTGTTGGAGTGTGTTACATACAGATCTCAAATAGGAGTTTGAGGCTTTAAAATATTTTACCTCCCAAGACAAGTATTTTAAAAATGATTTGGTAAATGGTGTTAATTTCAACAACAGTTTTGATGAATAATCAGCCTAACAACGGTTTAAGTCAATGAAAAGATCTAATGCAAAAGTCAAATCAAAGGTAACCCCAAATTGTTTTTAGTTGTTTAATGTTTATTAAAGACAAACAGAATTGTTGATGGTACTAATTACTTTCACTCCCAGTTATTAAAAGAGAAGGCAACAAATATAAAAGATAAAGCATTTGAGGTTAAGTGCTTTATTATATTATCCACATGTAACACTGTATCCACCAGGAAGAAAAAAAATCCCCAATAGTGCCTAAAAGGTACCGTAAAGATGCAAGCTCTCTTTGTGTACTCTTTTGTGTGACGGTGACAAATATTGCATTTTATGAGCAACTTCCTTGCTGTATTCTGACAAATACAATGATAAATTTGGCCCTGATCCAGAAGAGCACTCAAGCCTGTGCTTAACATGAAGTGTGGGAGAAGCCATTGTGACTACTTACATGCTTTGCTAGACTGAAGCTCTAATGCCCTCCATGTAAAAATCAAATTTTTGAAAATAAGGTAGTAAAAACTGGCCCTTAGGGAAGTAATCTATTTTCAAAATATGTGATTTATTAAAATCAGGCTCATAATGAGAAACTAACTTCAACCTTACCTATGGAGAGACCAGCATCTTTCCATAATGTTTGAATATGTAATATAAAGCATTGTCAGTTGTGTAGTTGTTTCCTGCAAGTAATACAAACGTGTTTACTAGGTCATGATAGCTTGGGCTATAATGCTTAGCTGTCTGACTGTGTTAGATGTTACCCAACTGTTCTTTTTAACTTGAATGTATCTAGATTACCTTGAGGTTAGGCTCAGGTGGTTGGCCTGAAACCTGAATAAGTGCAGAGGATTTACATATAAGATGAATATTATCTGACTTCAGAGTATTGTCACTTCAATTTGTGTTAGTCATCCAGGAGTTATTGTTTATATTTTGTAACTACATGGCTTTATCCCACCGTACACTGGTAACTGCTCCAAGAAAAAAAGATTATGGACAAGATGGTGGGGTCTAGCTGATCTGCCCGAAGCCCAGGTCAGGAGGTGGTGTGCAAAAGCGGTACAGACCTCACCTTTACACTACCTGGTCCTGCCTCATCTCCATTCGGGATCAGACCCCTGGCCTGGATTTTGGATGGAGTTGCTTCCAGCCTATGTTCTGCGGGCTTCTCTAATTTATGTTGACTGCAAATGGGCATAAGGGACCAAAACTACAGCTGAAAGTCAGTGAGGCCCTTTTTATCTTCTTCTTTTGCAGCAGGGAAGGAATATGGCATTATCAGATCCTCTGTGCCACTGAAGGATCATGTTTACCAATGGGGTGATCTTCCCTGAGTCAGTATTAAACTGGCTTACGGGCCCTATTGCACCTGTGGTGAAATCAGTGCAAAGTAGTTACACTGAGTTGTAGGGTCTAGCATGTTGTGAAATGGAGAGTTTTGAATGAAACTTAGCACAGACAGAATAAAAACACATTTGTATACATATATTGTATATGGTGAATAGGTACGTGGCAGTGACAATAGCTTTTATTGTATGCTTCATGTTAGGAACTTAGTTAGGATTAGGTTGATTAGACTGATCGGGAATAAACTGTGGAACAAATTGACTCCTCACTAAGCACACTGGCAATCTTCAGAGAAAGTGTGATGACTATGGCAGCATGAACTTTTGTGGGCATTTACCTCCTCACTGCAATGGTGCTGGAACAATTTTTCTAGTGGGGGTGCTGAAGGCGGAAGCCATGTATTTGGGTGGTTGTTACTACTTCAAGGCAGGGAGTGTGACTTCTCCTCTAGTTCCAGCACCTATGCCTCACTATGGAACCCCCTAAGGGGTTTCTGAGGGCAGGTGTCTGCTGTGGAATCCTGGGCCACGTAGCTGGAGTTTCAGCCATAGGCCTGGTAGCGCTGCTGTGTGATCTAAAATCTTAGCAATTTCTGACTTTGCATCATTTTAGCACGTCAAGGGTTGGGCTCATGGTAGAGGTATGGCGTGGTCTTCACCACACCAGCCCACGCCTCCATAAAGGCCACCCAGGAGCAACTTTGGCATGTGGTTCCCAGTGAGAAAAGAGACCTAGGGTTTGGCCACAGGATCCTCTC